GAAAAAGAGAGAGAGACAGAGAGAGACGGAGAAAGAGAGAGAATAAATACCTTTGGTGTTGTAATGCGAGTTCTCATTCTTTTGCCTCTATCACTATTGTACATACACATATAAAAATAGAAAAACAAGACACGAGAGAGAGAAAAAGAGAAAGAGGGACAGGGAATAAAGACGAGAGAAAGAGAGAGAGAGAGAAAGAGAAAGAGAAAGAGAGAGAAAAAAGGAAGGAGATACTCATAGATCATCATCGACAGCTCCAATGCATCTTACATCACAAATGTCAATATCTCTTGTGTCCAACATTAAAGTCAGCGCTGCAATCATTATCATCATGGACGATGACGTCACCATCAACGTCATCATTGTGATTATCATCATCATAGTCATCATCGTCGTCGTCATCATCATCGTAATTTTCCATTCTAAGTTACTAGCTGTCATTTCAATCACCATGAAATAGCACCTCGTAACGACGACGATGATGATCGCATGATGATGATGATGATCGTAAACTATCACCATCATCATCATCATCATCACTACCACCACCATCATCATCATCATCATCGCCCTCACTGATGGAAAGCTACGAAGATGAAAAATCAATAAGACCCAACACCGTCATAACGCTTGTTCCTACTATTACACACGCACACGCACACACACGCACACGCACGCACGCACGCACACACACACGCACGCACACACGCGCGCACACATGCATATAAATATACACACAAACAGCATAAAAAACAACCAAACCATCGCTAGCATTGTAAAGCAGCAAAGAAACTTAATTTGCATGTATAACAAACAGTCATTGTATATGCAATAAACAAACCAGTAAATTTTCGCGATAAAATACAAAACATACAGTGAAAAACGTAAGTACGTAGGGATATTTGTTTGTTTGTATGTATGTGGTTTTGTATGTGTGTGTATGTTTTTTTGTTTGTATGTGTGTTTGTTTGTATGTGTGTTTGTATGTGTGGTGGATGCAAATGTGTTGTACTTTTTGCCGGTTTAATGGTGCGTAAGTATGAGAAAGTGTTTTTTTACGTTTCAATGCTTCTGTATATTTGTGGTTTATTTCTTCGTATGTATGTATGTATGTATGTATGTATGTATGTATGTATGTATGTATGTATGTATGTATGTATGTATGTATGTGTGTATGTGTTTATGTGTTTTTTCTTTGTATATGTACTTACGTATGTATTTGTATGTTTATTTATTGACCTGATGCATTTTTTATGATGGGAATATTTTGGCTTTATATCTGATGTAAAAAATTCACATTATGTATTAATTATTTTTTCGCATTTTAGAGGAATGATGTTTATTTCTCTCTCTCACCTTCTCTCTCTCTCTCTCTCTTACTCTCTCTTACTCTCTTTCTCTCTCTCTCTCGTTCTCTCTTTCTTTCTCTCTCTCTCTCTCTCTCTCTCTTCATCTCTCTCCTTTGATATTTAACTCTATCACAATGTTACAAGAAAGAAATTAAACCATACAATCAGGTCGAAGAAATATATAAATGTATGCAGCGACAAATACAAAATACCAGCAAATAAAAATATACAAAGGACGCGAAACAAAAACATACAATACAAATACAATAAAATAAAATACAATACAATACTATAAAATATAATACAATACAATGCACTACAATTCCATACAATACAATACAATACAAATACAATTCAATACAATTCAATACAATTCAATACAATTCAATACAATACCAATACAATACAAATACAATACGATACAAGTACAATAAAAATACAATGAAATACACTACAATACTATACAATACAATACAATACAAATAGAGATACAATCAAAATACAATACAATACAAGACTCACTGTTGACTATTAGTTGTACCCACGTATCATTCCTAACTTCGCGAATGGTGGAGGTGTTCGTCGGTAAAACTGAACAAGAGTACCATCCTGCATTTTGATTTTAGGGGCATGGTGGCATTATTTATTATGAATACTTCTAGTTATTGGTTATTTATATAGCTTATAAATATATATATTTATATCTACGTTAAACTCACATGTATATATCAAATTTTAATTGTATATATCATATGTCGTCTTCATCATCATTATCATCAAACCACCACCATCATATGAACATCATTATCATCATCAAGCCAGCACCATCATCATCATCACATGAACATCATCATCATTTCCATCATTAAAGCCACCATCATCATCACCACATGAACATCATCATCATTATCATCATCAAGCCACCATCATCATCACCACATGAACATCATCATTATTTCCATCATCAAGCCACCATCGTTATCATAACCTTCGTCCTCTTCTCTAATTTGTATTATCTCCAAATTGGCCTCATTCACAATTCTGATTCTTCTGAAGAAGCCGTTGTCAATGTGTGGCGGGCTACTCGTGACGCTGACTACAATGATGATGGGAACCTGAATGCCTAGCTTCGACCATCTTTTGGCGGGAAAATTTGAAATTGTTTTTATTATTATTATTATTATTATTATTGTATTTGTTGTTGTTGTCGTTGTTGTTGTTGTTGCTGTTGTTGTTGCTGTTGTTGCTGTTGATGTTGTTGTTGTTGTTGATGTTGTTGTTGTTGTTGTTGTTTTTACTAATTCAGTCACCGCTCACTTTACTGACTCAATTATTTTGCCTATATAATCGTAGATAGGCTTATTCATTTACTTATTAATTTTCGCTTTTTTCACTCACTCACTCACTCACTCACTCACTCACTCACTCACTCACTCACTCCTCACTCACTCACTCACTTACTCCTCATTCCTTCACTCACTCACTCCTCGCTCATTCACTCCTCACTCACTCCTCACTCACTCACTTGATCATGTATCCTTCTTCGTGGACACTCAGCTCGCACTCCAGCACCACTCGACCACCGACGTTTGCCACAATCTCGGCCGATCTTCTTTTAATCGCATGAGTAGAGACATCATTACCAACACCACCACCACCATCATCATTATCAGTACTCAAACCATTACTATTATCAATACCCACACTCATATCATTACTATCATCATCATCATTATCGTCGTACGGTGATGAGGATGATGATAACGATGATGTCAATGGAGGCGGAGGTGATAATAGTTGTAAAGATGATGATGTTGGTGATGATGATAACCAAGATGAAGAAATTGGAGATAATGATAGCGATGATGATGACGAAAGGTATGGAATAATGTAGGGAGCAGATAACGGAGATATTAATGATGATGAAGGAGATGATGATGATAACTGTGATGATGACGTTGCCTTGAAACCACGTTTGAATCTATGTTTTATTGAAATGTCTTCCCAACTCAAAGGCAGTCGAATTAATGATGGTGACGACGACGATGATGTTGTTGTTGCTGCTGCTGATGTG